TTTGGACATAGGTGTTTTGGGTTATATCGGCATACTTTAACATAAGGAACACCCTCCCAAAGTTTGGCACATTCCTCCTGGGACACCCTGTATATATAGAGTATGTCAAGATGCATTCAGACAAACAACAGGCCAATAATGAGGAGCTTCATAACTTGTACTCTTGTCCAAGTATAATTAGAATGACAAAGTCAAGGAGGATGAGGTGGGCAGGGCATGCAGCACTAATGGGGGAGACGAGGAATGTGTATAGGATATTGGTGGGAAAGCCAGATGGAAAGAGACCACAGGGAAGACCAAGGTGTAGGTGGGTGGACAATATTAGAATGGATCTTAGAGAGATAGGATGGGAAGGTATGGATTGGATAGATCTGGCTCAGGATAGGGACCAGTGGAGGGCTCTTGTGAACACGGTAATGAACCTTTGGGTTCCATAAAATGCTGGGAAATTCTTGAGTAGCTGCAGAATTGGCGGCTCCTCAAGAAGGGCTCAGCTCCATAAGTAAGTAAGTAAGTAATGACTGATACTGTGACCTACCAGAATGTTGACCATTCATCCTTGAACATCCTTTGTAATAAAACATGTACAGTGTCTTTGCAACATTTCTCTTTCCCCCACCCAGCCCCAGTGTTCAATAATGAGATAGTGCATTAAAACAGATTAGGATCATTCGCACACTCTTCTCCAGTTAAATAATCATTCTGCCTTCCTGATTTCATGCTGCATAATCTCTGTAATTGTGAATGTTGCAAGATAACCAACTAGTGGACATTATTGTTTAATAATGTAACTTCATATGATGCAGTGGCAGTTAGTTTGTGTTGGCCTACTGCTGTGCCCATAGTTGTATGGCCACCAGCTACTTTCATGACTAATTCATAGTCATGAATAGTCAGATTTAAGTTATTCTATTTTTGTTTCCCCCCTTCCTCCATACTCTAAATTAAGTCAGAACCAGTCTTCCTTTTTCTCAGTCACTGAATCTTCTATTCACACCAAAACAGAACTAATGTCTCTATGTGATAAAAAGGAAATGTTTGTGAAACTGATGTTGTTCTTTGTCCGTCCTGTTACAGCTGGTGGCATTCATCCTCATTGGAGTTGCAGTGTATGGAAGAGCTTCAGCTCTTGTGACAAATCTTCCTATTATTGGTGGGATCCTTGCATGTGGCGTGTTTTTGATCCTTATCTCCATTTTGGGTCTGATTGGAGCTATCAAACATCACCAAGTTCTGCTCTTTTTTGTATCCTTTTAAAATATACCTGACACATTAACAGGACCTCATCACATACAGGGGCATAGCCCCATTACCACTACTTAAAAAGACACTTTTCAAATTTGGGATAACATTTGGATGCCTGAATGAGTATCATACACTTGGAACTAAGCATACAAATACTCAATCTATGAACATCAGTATTTATTAATGGTATGAGAAATGTTCATTTTTATTTGGATTCATTGAGTTGTATTTGTGTACAGCTGTGTAATGTGCTTGTTAGTATTATAAGGTGAACTAAATTTAGTATTATAGATAAATTGGGCATTGTCCATAAGCTTATGTATGATACTCAGCTCCTGCTAATTGCATTATTTCTTGTTGGAGAATATGAAGGGAATTTGAAGAGCAATGAGACTGTTCAATATCCAGAGATTCCTGAGGCTTGGACACTGTTTATTTTTAGAAATAACCAGGGCTTGAGGTGGGGCGGGATGGCATCCCGGTTCTTTTCTAAATGGCTTAAAAGCATCCCGTTACTTCTTTGGCAGTAAATGCAGTAAATGAATTAAAAGGGGAAAACCATCCCGGTTCTATTTTCATTCCACCTCAGGCACTGGAAATAACACCCTGCACTAGTTATATAATTTTTCCAGTACCCCACCAACTTCTCAGACATGCACAGAAGGCCATTTCCAGACAGCTTGCATAAGGTAGTGGTGCTGGCTTGTTTCATTTCAGTGTCGATGCTGATTTTTTTCATCTTGTAACGCATGTTTAAGCATTATAAATGCCCAAAAGTCACATGGGGTGAGGTCTGGACTGTAGCATGAGGGGTGCTCTACAGGTGTTACATCAGTGTCTTCTAGCACCTCTATCATCACATGTGCAATATGTGGCCATGCATTGTCTTGAAGCAGCAACTTTCAAGAGTGAAGGGTTCCATTGTTTTTTATAGTGATCCTTAAATGAGTTTTTAAGTGTATTTGCTTAGTAAACACCACTTGTAGTTTCCTTCATATGTACCACAACTGAAGAATAATGCTTTTGGCATATAATATCAGCATCACATTTCCTGACAATAGTGCTGTGCAGAATTTCTTTGCTGGAGGTAGATGTTTGCATTCCCAAACATGTGACTGCTATCTTGATTCCAAGTCGCCATGCCTTATCAGAGACTCGTCACAGGTGTGATTATGGACCATAGGAACTTGGAGTTTTGTCAACAAGAGTAGCATTTTGTTGGCAGACTTCCACATCCTTTCTTTTCGGTTCATTGTTGAGGTCATGAGGAAACTACTTTTCACACACTTCACTCTTCCCTAATTCTACCATAATAATATGGTGGATCCTTTCCAGTGATACATAACTTCCAAAACTTTCCTATAATGATACTGTCTTGTCCTTCAGCATTTGTTCAGTTTTATCAATATTCATATCTGCAACAGCAGTGCTTGATCTCCCACTTCAAGCATTGTCAACTATCTTTTTGTCTTGTCTTTAAAATTCTTGCTCCCTCAAAACGTTGTAGCTTAGCTCATTGGTTCTGTTCCAGATGCATTCTGCAACACCTCTAATGTCTCTTCACTGCTTTGTCCAAGCCTCATGCAGAATCCTGTCACACATCTCTGCCTTCTGCTTTGCCACTGAAAAACAGAAAACAGGTTTCTTGCAAGAGCTCATGCAAACATATGCTGTGGTAAAGGATGACCTTTGTAATAATAGCGGAGCACATTTGATGAAGCAGCATGGCATATACGCCACCCAATCCAGGCCACTGAATTATTGAATTATATGTACACGGTCAGTAATGCAACAATGATATTTAAATTAAATAAAATAAAAGACACCTAAAACATGTTCTTCACTAAAAGTGTAGTTTTAATGCCTTAAAATGTTATTAAATGTTATAAAATGTCATTAAGATGCTGCATGTATATCATATACACTAAAAGTGACTATTAAATACTTTAGAATGTCTTTATATCATATGTTCTTCTAATTTGCAACATGTTTCAGCCACACATGTGCCATTATCAGGCAAACTTTTGATTGGTGAGGAGACCACCGTACTGTTCGCTTGTCCAGCACGTCATCTTTTTTGTTGTTGTTGTATCACATATCTAGAACGGAGTTCTGGAGTTCTGGAGCATGGAAGACAAGCCGACAGTACGGTGGTCTCCTCACCAATCAAAAGTTTGCCTGATGATGGCCCATGTGCTGCCAAAACATGTTGCAAATTAGAAGGACATATGATATAAAGACATTCTAAAGTATTTAATAGTCACTTTTAGTGTATACGATATACATGCAGTGTCTTAATGACATTTTAAAGTATTAAAACTACACTTTTAGTGAAGAACATGTTTTAGGTGTCTTTTATTTTATTTGTTTTAAATATCATTGTTGCGTTATTGACGGTGTACATACAATTGAATAATAATTCAGTGCAACAGAATGCTGAAATATAAGACTACTGAAGATGAGCAGTGTTGCCAAAATTTCATTACTTTTCATTCTCCCCTCATAATGTGTTTGACTTAAGAGCAACTTGGTTCAGAAATGAACCTTTCGAACATAACCTGTTTGTAAGTTGGAAGGGATGTAAGTGAGATGTTTTCTCTGTATTCAACCAAAGCTCTGGTGTTTTTGATGGAATCACCCCTATGTGTATTGTAGCTTATATGGTTCAGCTTTTCTTAGCTTTACACGAGCTGGGCCAGAGAAGGAGGTAGATTTACCATTCAGCTAAGGTCCCAGAATTGGGCTTTCACATGTCTGTTGCTGTGGGAAGAGAAATGGGAACATGTTTGGTTAGTGCTCTCATTTGTGTAGTTGCAATTTGCATGATCTGATTTCTAGACCACAGACCGCAGTCACCAGTGCATGTGGAGAGCATACCTAAGAAATGAAACACATCTTAAAGTGATAGAAGAAACCAATTTAAGACAAATATACTATCTTGTTAGTTATAATGCCGAGTAGTCTATCAAAAGTCAACCAACGTTTCAGAAGAACATATCACCTCCACCTTCACGGTCAAAGAATAAGCTGGGCAAGATACCAGCGTGAAAGCAGCTGGCAGGCAGAGCCTCAAATCATAACATGATGTAAAACTTAAAATGTTTGCATTATATACAAATTGAGGCAGATCATTAAAATAATTAGTTGAAAGGAATAATTGTTCTGTTATTTTTTGTGATTGTATTTAAACCTTTGGTATTATTGACTATGTTAGAGCAGGTAAGCATAGTAATGTCACTGTTGTCAGTCCAAGCAGTTTGCATGGTAAGGACTCTCTAGTGTGAACTGTTATTGAAAGAACACTTATCATGATGTATTATGTAAGTTATGTAATTACGTTGAGGGCCTCACATTATCTAGACCAGTGGTGGGCAAACTTTTTTAGGATNTGGTAAGGTTGTCAGCCTTACGCGCCGGCCGCACTTTACTCCCCAGGAAAATTATTTAATAAATACAAACCACTCCGTCCAATGTGACATATAAGTTTTTACTACATGAAAACTTATCTCCCTTACATGTTTCGGTCTTTATGGACCATCTTCAGAGGGAACATCATTACGAACTGGAAACTACCATCACAATAGGTGTTTTGATAATACATACACTTATATTCTATATTGCACAGTTATTTATTTAATTCCTGGTACTCATTTATGTTAGAGGCCGAGTGCGACTGGAAGGATTAGGTCAACTGAAAAAAATCCAATGACCTCATTGGTATTTGAACCCGCGACCTTCTGATGTGTAGCATAGTCCCTTAACCACTACGCTAACCAAATATATACCTTACTAACATACCATTGTAGCATACTCACAAGAATTTCACACGCATACTTGTACACAGGCAGGGGCTGTCAACACCAGAGTTGCAAATGATAATGAAACGTAATTTCACCAGAGTAACATGCACTGTACCTGAACATAATTCCAAGAGAGAAAACAACACATGTCTGCTTGGAACAAACCCACCAGTCAGAGAGAACGGTATGTATTGCAGCCTGTCTCCAGCCAGCATAGAAAGAATCAAGAAAGTCCATGATTGGACAGGAAAGGTCAGGCAAGATGATGTAGGAGGTGGGATGCCACCTGAAGAGAGGACAGAAACAGTTTCTGGCATGTGGCGACAACACCAGAGGCATGCAGATGGCAGAATGAGCCAAAGGGATTGGCTCAACTCTTTATTAAATTTAATTCAAGTTTGTCTTATTAATGCACACATTGTATTTATGAAGTTTTCTGTTTCTCCAAAGCATGTATTGAAAGAGAACAAGTGTCCTTATTTCCATCTGTTACTTGTGGTTTCCTTGACAGTCTGTGCAGTACATGCTGATTTTGTTTCTGCTGTTCCTAGTGCAGTTCAGTGTCGCGTGTGCATGTCTGGCATTCAATGCTGAGCAGCAGCATCAGCTCGCTGAACAGGTATGTACTGTCTCTCACTCAGTTAACTTTGAAACCAATCCAGTCCAATTTGCTTCAGAATCAGCTGGCTGTACAGGTATGTACTTTCTTTGACAATCATATGTCACACTATAATTATAACAGAACTAAAATTTATAATATCTGTTTTTTAAATTATATCACTCATTGCATAAAAGCATAAAATTATTGTGAAACAGAAAGATGATGCACAAATATTATGTTTTTGGACATTATCTATCATCCTGTCTGTATCTGAAATCCGTTCTGTTTATTTTTAAAAAATCAGAATTTCAGAGACTGAATTCTGTCTCCATCTTCAGGTAAAACATACTCAGAGCTAGTCCCTATCTCCGGACATCTGTGACAGCTTCAAGAAGGGGTACATAAATCAAACACAGCACAAACCATCTGTGAGAACTAAGAAAACATTAACCTTTAAACAATGGAATAGTGGTAGCTTGAGCTGGCCGGAGTTTATTTAAATGCCTGCTGCTGTGCACGTTTAAATGCCCGTTGTCGCTCTGTGTTTAAATGTCCATCCCTGTTAGGGCACTTGCAATGTATTTGAAAATGCTGTATCTAATACAATTTTTATGATAAATGAATGAATTAACTTTGTTTTTATCAGCAAAAAACACAGTGTCGCATATTATAATGTAAGATTTGAAAATATATAGACAACAAGTTATAAACTACTTTTAATTTTTTCTTGTAATTAAGAAATGTGCTGTAAAAATAATTTCCCACTTCTTCACATAATAGTTCTGCATTATAAAATCACTCCTACTTGTAACACTTGAAATATTTTAGCATTCTCTGGTGCCATAAATCAGCTGGAAGCAATAAAGTCATTTGGTTCTCTGCTGGAAAGTTTCAAGTCTTTGTTACACCCTTCAGATATCGCAGTCTTTTGACTAAAGGACAGATAAGTGAAAACATGGCCTTTCTAGAAAGGCTACAGGGTATATTCATTGTTTCCTAATTCAGTGCCAAGCCCTGTCATTGCAGCTGCAAGAGAATATTGTCCTTTCTGCGGTTGCAACCCACGGCTTGCATCACAGCTGAGATACAGAGTGCATTCAGTTTTCTACAAGTTTTTAGTGAATTTGAATATTGTAGTTTCATTTTATCATGCAATGAGAACAAAACGTTGTTTGGAAGATGATGAAATTGAAAGGCAGTTGAAATGCAATATGTGTGATGTGTGACTGTACTTTCTCGGATGCTTCAAGGAGTATTACACAAAGGTGAGATTCTTTTATATGACTTGGGAGTTGAAGCCTGTATATATGTTGAGCAGATAACAACAAAAAAGTATGTATATTGAATTTTAATATATTTAAAAATAAATATTTAGGATTGAGCATATGATATATGATATAACTCTGTCCTAAGTGCAAACTATATTTATAGGCCTTTCGTTTTGTTCCTCTCTATACACTACATGTTTCGGCCCCAAACGGCCATCATCAGGTGTATGTTTTTAAATTTTAAATGTTATAAATAAGTGCAGTGTAACAGTTACATGAGTGTATACACTCAGGGTGGCCCCACAGAAGACACCACTTCCTCTATTGTTGCATGTGAATTCACTCCTACAGAGATATGTTTACCTCAGCATTGCATAGCAACAAGTGTGGTGCTGACCACAGAAAACACCACTCTTCTATTGTTGCCCACATTCGCTTCCATGGGAATTCTTTTAAAGGGACCATTGCTTAGTAAACTATTCCAGCTCTCAAGTGTCATGTCACAATATGGTTCATGCTTGATGGCACTCCACTTCATTATGTCCTCTTGGATGAAAAAAATCTTTTGAGTAGGATGGATTGGATTTGAAGTCCCAACACACTGACCAGCTAGATCTCTAGACTTGAATCTGTGTTATTCCTGCATCTGGGAGCTTTCAACACAAGAGAAGATATTTGTCAGTATGTGTGTCACTCTTTTCAAACAAAGCCAGGACTTTCTGAGTCCCCCACGCGGGTAGAGCATCAAAATGTCCCAAGACCATTTCCAGCATTTACATTAAAAACTCTTTGTTCTAAATATGAAATTTGTTAAATTACATTCAGCTTCGCCTCTGATGTATGTTGTGACTCCTGTGACCCTCCCACAACAAGGTGCCTAAAACAAAATGAGGCTGTAACAGGTTCATTTGTGGATGAATGCTCTTAAGAACTTTTCACTTTATTTTCACTTTCCCAACATGCTTCAAACTTTTTCAGAAGTATTTGGACTTTGTATATGCTGAAAGGAAAATATTGCAAGCTACAGCTGCCAAAAGTATAGAACTCATATCAACAAAGTGAACATTTCCCAGCATTTTTGTAATTCACAGTTGTTTCTTTATCATGTTTTGTTCACGGTAGATGCTGAAAATGGTCCCTGTTGTTGCACATGAATTTGTTGTGAAATTAAAAGTTGTCCCTGTGCTTAACTGATTAAGCATTAAACCATGAAGGTGTATGGGGGAGTGGCTGTATAGATCCATATTTTCTTGACCTCAGCACAAGCTGTAGGTGAGTGGTCAGCTTCACACACCTGCCACTTTACCCTCAAGTGCCCCTGGTACCCATTGTATAAGAGGTTGGGTGGACCCCAGAGCCAGTCTGGACGCCGCGGATAAGTGAAAATTCCTGCCCCCACCAGGACTCAAACTCCAGCCCTTTGGTCTTCCAACACATCCAGTTGCTATACCGACTGTGCCGTCCCAGCTTTTCATGTATTCCTTGTACCATCGTGAAATGTTCATTTGTTGCTTCAGTGTGTAACTGACATGTGGAATTTTTGACACAGGATATAACACAACTGAGTCATGACTGCTTATCATGTAGCCCAAGTACGGTAGGAGGAGAAGCAAGAAGCTCTTGATTTATGAGTGTGCTGGTGCACATTGCATGAGCTTGAGTCGCTCTGGCTGTTCAACGGTTGTAATTGTAATACATATAGGCCACTGGTTTCGCAAGCACATCACAAGTCTCTCTGTGCTTGAGCTGCTCTGTTGCCAGTAGTGCATCGATTGTTTTGGGCATGCTCACAGATACCTCTCTGGGTTTAACATATGTTGCTGAGAAGTCATCATTAAATAAACGTTGAGCATTTATTTATGTCTTACTCTTTTCAGAATTTCAGTTTTAGTTGTTCCCTCAGATAGAGAAGCTGTTTTCTTTTTCAACCATTCAAAACCAGATGGGAATGCAGTTGTATGTACGTTAAGAGAGAGTTGAACAGCTACATGCATTTCCCAGCGTACTGTGCACCCGTATTATCTGTATGTAGAGACAGCTTCCACTGTGCAGAAGGGAAACCTTGACATGACTTACAAGAGTAGCAACCATATTGCATAGAAATGGATCTTATGTGCAGGGTTGGAACAATGTAGCATCAGACACCAGGCAGAAGGTGCAGAAAACATTTGACTGCTGTGGATTTGGTGAGGAACACAGAAATGAGAGCATTCTGACATCCACATCAATACCACAAGATAAATGTGAGGTAAATATTACTTTTGGTTGTTGACATCATAACCTCAATTTTATGAATAAAGTAGTTGTGATGTAAATTTCATTCCCTTAATATTTTGATTTCTTTGTGCTATTCTTGTGCAAATTGTTAACAGCCTTCTTCGTCAAGCATCGGTTCTATTCCATACAGGTCACTGAAAAAAAAAGTCTAAAATCTGTTGTTTCGTCTCACAGTCCTTCCTTTATGATTTATTTCCAGTTCTTCCCTCCCTCTTCATGTCTTCCATTATATACCTAGACCATCTTGTCCTAGGTCATTCTGTAGGTCTCTCTTCAGGTTCATTGAAAAAGAATTCTGGGATTTCACTTCTTAATGTGTCAGAAAACCAAGACATAAGATCATGACATTTGTACTGGAATATGTAAAAACTATACAGGTTTTGTTCCTACATGTGTGCATTGTTGTGTGGTGGTATTCACAGTTTGTCATATGGTATGCCAAGTTCAAATCAGTTGTGACCTTACAACATAATTTCCAGCATTTGTATGGAACATACACACTTATTTTTAAAATTTTTTTAATGCTAGTGGTGTGGGACAAAGTCCCTTGTACTGCTGCTACTTCTGGCCTATTGGACTTGCCCCAGATGATAGGTGAGGGTGATTGTGGAGCAATTGGTGGAATGAAGATTGGCAGGGGAAACCGAAGTACTCAGAGAAAACCTGCCCCAGCGCCACTTTGTCCACCACAAATCCCATTTGACCAGACCTGGGATCAAACCTGGGCTGCCACAGTGAGAAGCTAGCAACTAACCGCTTGAGCTATGGCGCAGCCACGAAAAAGAAAGTAACATACTCATAGTCTTCTTAGTAATGTCAGACATTGCAGAGATATTTCTGATCCAGTCAGAGATGTCATGGATTTCTTCACATTAATAAGCTTACTAGTGGAACTGCCTTTCTTCTCACTGTAAAGAAGCCTTGCGTATAGATTGTGCAAACTACTGTAGAGGATTATTGTTGTTTAAGGAACTCTTTTTGCAGAGGTGCTAGCAAGACTGTAAGTCTGTACTGTTGGAAGGTAAGTTGTATGAGTTCTGCTCAGAACTTCTTGTTTTCATGTCATCATAGGAGTCAGGCACTGAAACATTTACCATGTTCCAGGCTGCTTGTTGTAGTGATGGAAAAGGAGGGTGTCTGTGTTCAACTTGCATGGGCAAGCTGCAGAGCACAATCAACTATGCCTTCAAGTTGTGTGGTGGCATTGGTCTCTTCTTCAGTTTCACTGAGGTAATGCAACATTTGAGATTCATCTGTGATGATTTGACATTTGTGACTTGGAAGCCATATTATTCTCATACTTATTTATCAAATCAGTGTAGTTCAAATTTTTGCAATTTGAGTAAGAAATTAAATTTTATACTTTGAAACTTCCACGTCCATCAACTTTGATACCATGTAATTTGCCACCACAGCATCATACACTTGCCCCTCCATTATATTTGCTGTTGTTTTTAGGAGGGAGGATTATCTTAAGACACTTCCAGCATGTAGACTGCATAGTGTTGAATGGTAGGGTGACTGCTGAATTGTGAATCAGAAAGGTTATGTTAGGCAGCGGTCCTAGACTAATTGAGTGCTTGCTTGGAGGGTCCAAGAAAAACCATGACAGACCTTAGTCAGGATAGCTAGTGTCCCAGATGAGATTCAAACCAGATGTCTCCTGAATGTGAGTCAGGAGCGTTGCCACTGTGCCAGTCGGTTCAGTATCTACCCTGTTAACAACTGTGCATATATATCGGTTCTTGATAACTTGCATTGTGGTCCGGTCTTCCTTGTGCTCAGTAATGCATTATGTGTGTATGCCCACTGGACTGCACTCAGGAGGACAGGACTGAAATGTGTAAACAAATATTAATGGAAACAACTGCATGATGTTCATAGAGCTGTAATATATTCTTACTGGATCCTGCAGATATCTTCTTTTATGACTCTCTTTAATAGTAGGTTGAGGTACTATGCCACAAGCCAGAAGGTTGCGAGTTCAATTCCCGATAGGGTCATTGGATTTTTCAATTGACTTAATCCTTCCAGCCGCACTATAGCCCTGGAGTCGACTCAGCCTCTGACAGAAATGAGTAGCAGGTGTCTTCCTGGGGGTGAAAGGTGGCCAGCGTGTAAGGCTGACAACCTCACCACCATCTGTGAACCGATTATCTAGAAAAATGTGGAAGCCTCAATGCCTCACAACCCTAAGGGCCTCCACGGCCTGTTACATGAATAGCTTTCCCCCCCCCCCCTTTTTTTAATGATATATATAAAGTGTGCTTTAATAAGGTTATGAAACAGGTTGCAGTCCCACAATTTCTTAATTTCTTAATCTTTAGTCATGACAAAAGCAGTGAAAGCAACAGAACAAACATAAACTGTGTCTCAGGCCTTTGTTTCAGTGTCAGAGAGTGATGAGGGTCATTACATCACAATAAGAAGTTCTAGATTCTATTTTCAACATCCAAATAGAACTAAAATCACCTTAGCAAAATTGTCTTTGAACACACAAACTTTTCATGATGAGGTTCCATATTCAAGTTATAATATACCCCTTGGGGAGTGTTTTAAATGTGCAGTGAGATTCCCTGTTCCTTTACAATATTTTTGGTGTCCAGCACTTCAGAACTTGACCATACTGTACAACCGTTTGCTTCATTTAATGTATCAGAATGTAATAATACTAAAAGGGTTTTGCCCTGTTCAATGTAAAAGGTATTCTTATTGGTTACAGCTGTAAAGCTGAACAACTAAGCTATATTTTGACTTGTTACAAATAATGTAATACTGTTAACATCAGTTATGTTGTGGATGTTGATTTTGCTCTTGGGTCTTTGCACTGTGTTGATGTCAGCAGTATTGCCAATGTTTTGGAGGTACATGCTGCATCCATCTTCAGGGTCATGAGTAGGATGGGTGAGTAATTTATATATAGGTCTTGATCCAGCAGGTCTGTGGGAGAAGGCCATTGCCTGGCCCAGGCTAGTAGAGACAGTGTACAGGATAAGTTTTAGGGCCATTGAGTACAACAAAGAACCTTCATAGGCTGGTGTTTTCAGCTGGTTGCCTATTCAAGTGATACAGAAGCTTGCGGGGGCTCACTGTTGCTCAAAGTTTTGAATCAGTGGCAGGTAAAGGAGCTTCATAATTTGTATTTTCACCAAATATTTATCAGGGTGGTCAAATCATGGTGTTTGTGATTTAACAGACATTTAGCTGACCCAGTGAGAAGAGAAATACTCAAAAACCTAAAGTGAAGCAGTACAGGGTGCAGATATAAGGGTAGTATGTAGGGGTCCTAAAGAAACAGGGTGTGGAGGACTGGATTGTTGCATTGTACCAGTTTTATCACAGTGCACCATGTTTGCCAATTGAGTTTTAAAGGTACACAAAAATTGCTCAACTTGGGCCAATCGTGGCCATATGGTTACCAACCAAGATATAGGAGGAGGTTAAAAGTTATTTTCTTTCCTCAAAAAAAATTAGAATTTCTTTGTGAACTTTCATTTTTTAACTGGCATAGTAATGTCTGGTCCACAGCCCTCATAGGAGATCTCCATTGTGGCTGTGAAATCAAATTTGTTGTTGAACCAGAACAGTCAGGTGGCCAAATGGACGCATGGCTGCTCACTCACCATTTAAACATGTTCTTGCATGACATAGCAGCTAGTGCTGACATACTGTTTCTATACTACATGATGCACAGAGGGTGGTGGTTATTGACCAGTAAAGAAAAAGCTGTTCATATGCTTAGCTAAGCACTGCACAATGGAGATGTATGGGAGAGCATTCTTAACCTCAACGCTAGATGGAGGTGTGGGGTCAGCTTCCTTCCCAGGCTACTTAAGCCCCAGGGAGATAGCAGTTGTTACTCATTGGATAGGTGGAGGGCCCCAAAGCAGTCTGAACCCTCTGGACACATAAGAAACATTTGTCCTTGCTGGGAATCAAACCCTGACTCCCTGGTTGTCCTGTCTATGATCTAGTCACTATACTGATCGAGCTATTCCAGCTCTTCATTGGTGAATATGGTCCAGAATGCTGTTTTATGTTTGGCCTCTCGTACTAGCTCAGTTCCTCTGTACCTATAGAATGTAGTTGTTGTGATGGTTTGTTTCTTGTTTGCAGTTTCTTGGTGTCTGGTTGACAGTGCGTTATCGGAACCAGAAAGATCCTCGTGCTAATCCTAGTGCTTTTCTCTAACTAACACATGTGCATCCAGGCCAGGGTGTAGGTAACTTTTCCTTTCTTTCCTCTCTTTTCAGTAGTTGTGTAACTGCATGAAATTACTCTAGAATTCTCTAAGTGTCTGAGACAGTGGTCTGTTCATTATACAGATATCATGTTGTATTTTGTTCATTTTAAAAGATATATTTGAAATACATAACATTTTAGAAACTGTGTGCGCTTTGTTGTCAGGCATAGGAGGCAGAATTGTGCTTCCAAAGTTTGTGTTTTAAAGCACTGCAAGCAATGGACAGTGTCAGGTGTAAATATATGCATAGTAACGCAGAGTGACGTACATTGACATCTTAAAATATTCTCTCTTGTAAATGAGCTTGTTTGCCATGTGGAGGAGTTTGGTTATTTAAGACTATGCTTAGACAAGGTCAGCAGTTTTTTTTCCCCCTTAATGTCCCTCTGAGCAAGTAGTTTCTTCCTCTGTCACTAGATGGTGCTTGGACGTGCATAAATTGAGTGTTGTGTATTTCTGTATTGTGAGATATTGCCAGCTGCTAATATAGTGCCAGAAATGGATAACTGGGCAGTAATCCAGCAGCAGATGTGCTGGGTGTGAAAATATTAAACATGCAACAAATTGGACTTGTGTAATTGAAACAGATTCTGACATATTGGAGGAAAGTATTGCCCCTTCCTCCAGAGTCAAAGAGTAAGCCAAGGAACAAACCAGCTCCGTTGAGTTCAGCTTGCTCTCTGCTTCTTCTGGTTTCTTGCCTGGCTTCTGTTTGACCTTGAAGATGACGGCAGTATGTTTCTCCAAAATGTCAGGTTCTCTGCAAACTACATGGTGCCTCATGATATGCCCACAAGCTTCATATACAGTATTCGCTCATTGTACTATAGTTATTGCCAATGCATGACATGTATGACGTTTGACTTCAGATACATACATCCAGTGTATGGTCCTTGTTCTGAGGACTGAACCACTTCATTTGTTGAAAATCAATTGTTTAATTACTTTTTAACGGTGAATATGATTCACAACTTATAACAAACAAATCATGATATATGAACTGCACTGTACTAACCCTGTCCTCTGTTTGTTATTTCCACCTTCACACCTACCAACTACAAATTAATTATCATGAAAATGTAAAACTTGTGTCATCTGTTGTTTGTCTACACCCTGAAACATATCAAATAATGTAATTCATAAGTGTAACACCCAGTATGGGGGCTATGCAATAGTGTACTTGGTTGAGGCACTATGCTACAAGCTGGGAGGTTATGGGTGTGATTTCCAGTGAGGTTACTGGATTTTTCAATTGACCTAATCCTTCCAGCCATGCTACAGTCCTAGGTCGACCCAGCCTGTAACAAAAATTAGTACCAGGAATCTTCTGAGGAGTAAAGGGAGGCCAGCACATACGGCTGACCTCACTGCCATCTGATCCGATTGTCTAGAAAACATGGGACCCTTGATGTCTCACAACCCTGTCAGCCTCCATGGCCAATGGGTATATTTACCTTTTTAACCCCAAGTATGCCATTGCAGTATACTGTATCATATTATATCTTCATCTTATGTGTTTTATACAAGACAGATATATTTACAGCAGCACTAGCAAGGAATTGTTTGCATTTACATGCTTTTCTGTGACTTGCTCAGGTTGAAGTTATCCTTCTGTTTATTTTGTTGGGATGTAGCTCAGTCTTCATGATATACATGACGATGCAGTATTCACCACAGTACAGAGTTTGAACTTAATGCCATCAGATGATGTTGGTTTCCTCAGTCTGAGAACATCGCTTAAGCTTTGGGTAAATTATTGAGTTTGAAGGGATTCATTGGAGCAAACTAGATTTGGTCAAGGAAACTATTTTCTGTGATATGATGCCTATAGTCTGGTAGAAGTTTTGTGATCACTACTCTAGCCTGATGACAGGGACATCACATTTCTCAAAAATGTCGGTACAATTCTACCTGACAGCATGGCATTACATCCAACAAGACAGGATGTGGTTACTGCTGCAAGATCCTCAGGTGTTACTTAAATTCTCTGAAGGTTCTCAACACATTCCTGATGGAAACAAGTTTATGTATGAGTATGTTATACATATCAGAAAGAAGACATATTCACGTCAGCTTGAATTGTAAATGTAAAATTGTTTAAAAATGTACATAATAATATGAAGGTACAGTAACTGCATTTTCTCTTCATTCGCATCATCGCACACGGGAATTTCAGACAGTATGTTTGATTGTAATTTACAAATATCTCTTTATGGTATGCATCCTGATGTATGTCATGATATCACAAATGGGGCTGTCTGCATGTTAAAAATATCTACGAATGTGCACAAAGAAAAATTGATATTAATATATCACTATTCGTTTGCAACAAAACCTGATGCCCCCAAAAACTACTCCTAAATTTTAAGTTACTCAAGTGTAACTGGAGTAGTTAATTTGAAAAATTTTTCATCATTAATTTTTAAGTTTTATCTTCAAGGACAAAACTACATTGGTAACTATATAGTATTAAAATCCAAACCATATACGAATTTATCAGTCTTAATATCTAAATAGAATTAAAAACTATATTGTAATATGTTGCATGTTGTCCATCGCTGAGCAACGAAACAATGGAAATTGTTGAGACCGTTGCATAGGAATATCCGTAGCAAAGAGTTTTCATTGTGTAACAACGCTTGGTAAACACCCCTCCCCCCTAGGCTGTGACGTCAAACAGGGGAGTCCATGCAGAGACTGTTGCTAGGCAATTGGTAAACACGTTTTCTGTGAGGTTAGTGCGGAAGCTACATAACGAGAGTACTTGTCAGTGTTGAGGCAGTTACGAATTACGAGTAGTTGAAATGTAGTGGCCGCCACAGTGGTTGAAATCTAGCATTTGCCAAGTGAAATCGAGAAGTGGCTACAGCAGAAGGATTAATTGTGACATTGTAAAGTGTATAAGTGTAAGAGCGAGTGTGCAATAAATTTGCTAGATCATAGACTGGCGAGAAGTTATTTGTCACTTCACATAGGAAACACGTTACAGTATTATTAGAGTATTTTTAATGTGTATTAGATTTATTTACCAATAGTATAGTATTCTTACAATTAATATTTTGCTGGACATTATCCATCATCTTGTCTATTCTAAAAAACAGTCTAATTTCTGTTAAAAAACACAACGTTTCGGGAACTGGATTCTGTCCCCGTCTTCAGGTAAAACCTACTCAGTTGGGTCCAATAGACAGAGCTAGCTAGTTGGGTAACTATTTGTTTCATATGTTGGTACCACAAGGAGTATTGCTTCTCTTCCGGTATGATTTCATTCACGATATTTCTCTGGTGCTAAGCCTCAAATTATGATATCTTCAATATTTCTTAGCTCCCACAGATGATTTTGTTGTGCTTGTATACCACAAGGAGTATTGCTTCTCTCCCGGTATGATTTCTTTCTCTGGTGCTAAGCCTCAAATTATGATAGCTTCAATATCTCTTAGCTCTCACAGATGGATTGAGTTGTGCTTCTTTTATGAATCCCTTCGGAAATTGGCATAGTTGTCCGGAGATAGGGGCTAGCTCTGTCTATTGGACCCAACTGAGTAGGTTTTACCTGAAGACGGGGACAGAATCCAGTTCCCGAAACGTGTTTTTTAATTGAAATTAGACTGTTTTTTAGAATAGACAAGATGATGGATAATGTCCAACAAAATATTAATTGTAACAATTTACCATCATCACAAACTTTTAGATATTATTAGTATAGTATTCATTGTCAAAAATAAAACAAATTATAATAATATGGATTCATATTAAAATACAGTTCAAAAACTAAGACTGAATTCTTGTAAATACTCCTCATGATTTCTTGAAGGACGAAACATATAGCAGAACACCTTTGCACTGTAAATGAATGGTGATACATTAGTATCAATTTGTTTCTGTTTACATCCATAGATACTATTGTTGTGTAGATGGCTCCATTTGTGATATTACAAATATCTGCTGTTAGACAGCTTAAAAGTGGAAGTGGTGTTGTGAGTGTGCATATAATTAATTGGCAATTGCTTTTTTGCAAACGGGGTCTGTTTGCACCTTTGCAGTGTGCATGTATTTATCAAGTCTGTGAAAGACATGCATACCGTAAGAACACTTTTAAAGGGGCCAGTGCTTCAAAACGCTTCATTATATTACAACATTGAGATATGGGCAAGTTTGTAGAAGTATGAGGGTTAAAGACTGAATGTCCTATGATATGCATCATAATATCCTGTCTCCTGAATTTCACATAGTAATCTTACCATTCAGTCCATAGCCTTTTGTCTTCTCGTCTGCTGTCCACAAACAAAAAAATTAGAATATGCAAAACTATAATTTTACCTGTGGTTCTGTATGGGTGTGAAACTTGGTCTCTGATATTAAGGGAGGAACATAGACTGAGAGTGTTTGAGAACAGGGTGTTGAGGAGAATATTTGGACTGAAGAGAAATGAAGTGGCAGGAGGTTGGAGAAAACTGCACAATAAGGAGCTTCATATCTTGTACTCTTCTCCAAGTATAACTAGAATGATCAAGTCAATGAGGATGAGGTTGGCAGGGCATGTAGCACGAATTGGGGGAGACGAATGCGTATAGGATATTGGTGGGAAAGCCAGAAGGAAAGAGTCCACTGTGAAGACCAAGGCGTAGGTGGGTGGACAATATTAAAATTGATCTTAGAGAGATAGGATGGGATGGTATGGATTGGATTGATCTGGCTCAGGATGGGGACCAGTGGAGGGCTCTTGTGAACACGGTAATGAACCTTCGGGTTCCATAAGGTGCTGGGAAATTCTTTAGTAGCTGCAGAATTGGCGGCTACTCCAGAACGGCTCAGCTCCATGAGTAAGTAAGTAATGTTTATAAGTGTTGGCATCGCAGAATTTCATTTGCTTGTGTGCCTCACTTCATAACACTGCCCAGATAAAATGCTGTTTTGGAATGAGAAATGTTAAACAGCTGATGATGACCCAATGCTGTTGATATAAAGTAACTAATTTATTTATCACTGAATAAAATATGTTGCAAATAAAGGTTCAGTTTAATGTGGGACACATGATATACCACATACAATTTGTTTATGTAATTTTTTAATGATATATCAAGGTCACTATGACTTCTTATATGGCACCGAATTTTGTTTATTTGACAAATTCAAACCTTATTACAAGGTACCATCCTGATTATATTAGAACACAACAGTACAGGAGTGACATATCTTAAATATCAACTAGAATGAATAAATCATTATTTTGAGATCACAGAGAATTTGCCAAAGGTGCCCAAAATGTAGACCATCAGAGTTAATGCAGAGTTGCAATTGTTGGACGAATGACTGCTTTGATTGTTAAGTTACTTGTGGAACTTGGCCTCCTCATTCCCCCGATCTCACACCATTAGATTTTTTATGGGGAAATCTGAAGGGCATTCTGCACCATGGTGTTCTGACAACACTGGAAAATACACGGCAATATATTAGTGATTAGTATGCCACCATGAATCCACGAGTAATTGAATGATCATCCAACAATTCCACTTCTACCTTAATTTTAAAGATCAGCACTTTGATCACATTTGTAAATCCTTTTGTTGGCTCAAAACACTAAGGTATTTATTCAGGTTTATATTTCAGATATTTGACTTCTGTTGCATATTGTTGCATTCTATTACAATCAGAATGGTACTTTGTAAGAATAGTTTTTAATTTGTCAAATAAAAAATACAGGTTGCCATTTAGAAAATTGTTAGCAACCTTGATATCTTATTAACAAAAAATGTTACAAGCAAACTGTATATAGTCTCATGAGTCCACTTCAAAACCAAACAACTTTATTCAAAAGCTTTTTAGTCAATGCAAAATAGAAGAGTTATTTCAAGTTCTCAAGATGAATGGGACATTCTGTATAAAGAAAGAAAGGAAAAAACTTGGTTACATCTTCACTTGAATGTAGTCTATATGTAACCCCAACAAGCAGTTTTTATATGTGTCTTTATGTGCGCTTGCATGGGGGGGTATTATTTTTTTAAATATTATATATATATATATATATAATGTTTGTGTTTTAGAATGGCTCTTCTGTTAAAAATCTAAACACAAGGTGGACGTAAGGATATTCATATGCTGAAGTGCAATTTTTTGTATATGTATTCTAAGTTGAGAGTATGTGATGTGTTTCAGGTGGTGGCCGCTGCAATCGCATATCGGTATCGCAACCAGTTTGACCCTAATGACAAAGCTGCAAGTGCCATTAATAATAGATTTCATAGTATCCGTGTTTACTGAAACAGTAATAATGCATGTTCCAAATTGATGTAAAGTCTCAAACAGAACATACACATGCAAAGTCATTGTACTCACAGTTACCACAGCTTCTGTAAAGCTGCTAGTTGCTGGTGCACAGTTGACATGTGTTTGTACTGAAAAGAGTGATGCATATTGTGTGGTCACTGTCCCAGGACTACAACAGTCCATCAATTTGCAGCATCAAAAAATCATGATAACATCTGATTCATATTGTTTTAAGTTCTAACTTTAGTATCAAAAGGCCGAGGTGTATGTATATTCCTGGTCTTGAATTTCAAATGTGTGTACTGCAAGGAAAACATAATTTGATTTCTGTGACTTCTGGTATCAGATATTGTGTGCTGGAGTAATGCTTTGAGAAAGACAGTTGCTTGTATGATTACATGTGTAAGCAGTTTTGCAGGTGTTATTGTTAAAGTTAGACCGAACCATTCTTTTGAGAATTTCAGAGTTTTCAGCACTTTTGAGTTAGTACATGTGGTTGATATAATTTGCTTGTTATTTGGTAAGAATCCCACAAAATCTGTGTTTTAAGACTTTCTCAGTATGGCTGTGTTGTAAAGTAGTTGAGAAGGAGTATATTAAGTCATCATGNACGTTCCTCCGAAACGTCGGTTAACACCACATATACACGGTGCCAAATCCCAGAAGACTGCTTTCTTCATAGTCACCGCCGTGAAAGCCTCAAATCTTACATCATGGTAGTTGTTTAATAAATTTTATTTGGGCCAAACTTGTGTCCATTCATTGGACACTAGTAGAGGGAGATTATGTGAGAGCCATCTGAAAGTCATTCGGCTTCTCAGGCAGAAGAGCTACACAATATTTGCATCAACTCAGGCCGTGCATATGCAGAGTTGTGGCATGGTTGACAAACCAATATCCTGTACACAATGTAATTCATCTTCAGTATCATTCCAATAAATTGTTGAACAGTTGCTGTGTAGCTAGCTTATGTGTTACATGTTCAGTGTAGTCCTGACTCCCTGCTACTATATTAAACTTTCAATCAGTTGGATTTATAATTCTCAGAGCAGTAAGCCAAGCAACAAACCAGCAGAAGTAGACATTACTATTCATATTGTAACGTGTTGGGTATATGTCACGCAACAAGTAACTTCACACCTTATTTGATATAGCAAATTTATTGAACACTCGCTCTTACACTTATACAATTCACAGTTTCCCAATTACTACTGCCATCTGCAGTATCACAAATTATCACATCAAATCTTCTAAACGCGTTCAGTTCTTCTTCCCGTGACTGCTGCTGTATGTCAACTGTCTTCAGCGGCTGTTCGGTCCACACTGTGTCGCTCCTGCTCACACACTGTCTCACATACTGCTCAGCTGGCTTTTTAGACCGTTCCCTGTTGCCTGTGTCAACAGCGGTGTCACATGTTACATCACAGTAGGCAGCGGTGCCATGTCACCGCGGGGCAGGGGGCGAAGTGTTGACTGGCCTGTTACTGTAGCAGCAGCAGCACTCAATGTTGTTACGTCACCGCTGACGGTGGAGGGGATGTCTTCCATAGCGCAATACGTCACAATATAATTTTAAATAAAGTTAAGACAGAAGGGTCGTTATTGGGCAGAAGAGAACCAAATCAGACCAAGTAGTTGGTAGTGGTTTATGGAGAAAGTGGGCTCCACAGACTTTACCCCATGTGACTTTTATTTATAAGGAACCATATAGCAGAACATTTACAGGTCAAACTGTCAAACAACTGAAATATAAAGGGGCATTTACTCTAGTTCCCATAAAGAACTTCACAGTTTGAATGTCAACTTTTTATGGAGGCACAAGAAATGTATTCAGAATGACAGAGTATCAGTATCAGCTGTAATATGGATACATTTTACTTCTAACGTGTACAGGCTGTTGGTTTTTTATCATACCGTGAGTTTGAATGCACACGGTGAGTTGACGTGAGTACCCATGACTTAACGTGAGCAGATAAATGATTGGCATCAGGCTCTTAGGTAATTTGAATTTTGTAATTTTGAATTCGAAATTTTAATGATGCTTAGGAGAGCCAGTTTTATGAAACTGTGGAAGGCTGGAAATCTCTATAAATTATTCTCATCTTTCATGTAATACAAATCTTCTACAGACCTTCATGCACCTTTGGTATATTAAACCAAATGCATTCTGTGTGAGATGAACTAAGGTCACAAACTTTATGCAGATGAACAGTGAAATTTTGCTGAATCTTGGTCATAGTTGCTGTAGAAAGGTGTTCAGTTCTTGCATGAATGGATATTCTTGATTCCTGGATTATTTGATCACTTTTCTGGAATATAACTCCTCAAAAGATAGTCAGAACAGGTTTAGGTCTAATGAAGTTAATGGCCATAATAATCTGTTCTTGTAGAACACAGGGTGTTAGTTTGATGGTGTACTCTTCATGATACAGGAGAAGGATGCTGAAGAATACCATTGCTGGTGTGAACAAACGTTTGGTATCATCTTGTTCAAACTAGACTTTATTCGTGGTAATGACCACTGCAGGAAATGGAAGAATTCATCCTTTAGCATACTCATATGGATATCAAAAGTGACAGTACCACTTGATTATACAATTCTCTTTGGGTTCAGCTGGTTAGCAACAGAAGGCCTTGGGTTTTCTGAGGGCCAGAATGTGGCATTCTGTTAATGTAACTATTCATATGGAAATAAGAATGGTGTCAGGAATGCAACATGTTGGCCTAGCCTTGCAAACCAGGACTCAATGGTGGTCCAGCTCTTCATGAAATCAAAAATATATCAGGTCATGTCCCAAGAAGCAACGAGTTAACCCTCTCTGGTCAAACGTCAATATATAATTGACATGGTGACTGTGCTACCATGGACAAATGTCCATTGATTGGACATTGATTGATTCCAAAGATTGGAAACTGCCAGTGTTACTACTGCCCACATGCTTGCGGTGGTTGTCTTGGTGGCAAAGAAACAGCGGGAAGCTTGACATTAGTATACTTCCAGTCTTCCAGTTTCTAAAATATTATGTTAATGTTTTTTTTTTCATTAATACTAATAATTTTTGCCATGTAAATTCATAACACAGATCTTTGGTTTCTGCATTTCGTGTTTATTACAAGAAGACATACCATACCATCAACATGGTATGTAACATTCTCTATGTTTTATTATACACTACATGTTTCAACCCTTGTTACTGGGTCATCTTCAAGTCACATGCTCAAAATCATCAGATTTTCTTTAATTTTCAATCCTACATTCTACTGAATTTGGCCCTTGTTTCTTATGTTCACATTTGGATATGTGATCAGTTTGTAAATCTGTGTGTTTGTATATAAGTTGTATTTTGTGTGGGTATGAAGTAATTTTTTCAGATGGTTATGTCTTTTGCATACATTAAAATATTCATTCTAAATAATGTAGAGATTCTCTGGTTTTCTGTAATCGTGTTATGTTGACTTGATGGCATTTCTTCTTCAGAGTCTTGTCACTGTATTCAGATGTAGCCTGTAACCTGAAATATAGTGCAACACTGGTGTAGTGTGTGCTAATTAACAGACAAGTAGCCAAATTTACCACACATCACAATGTGAATATTAGAACAAATATTGTATTATTACAGACAACACTACAACACCAACCAGACAGACACAATATACCACCAGTACAGATCATGTTACATTCAATCAAGTAAATCCCCAAAGAGTAAGGAAAATGTAATACAAATCCTCATAATACAAAGAAACATGTACATGCTATGCCAACATTACACTGTATTTTGTGTTACATGGACTACATCTGAGAACGGCCACCTGAGTCGGAACAAGAAATATAGTCTAGCCAACTTACCATGACTGCAGGAAACCACACACTTCCTGTGTATTATTTAGTACAGATATTTTAATTAAGCAACAATAATCTCATACATACACAGTACAATATGTATGCAATTTTTATTTTATTTAATTGATTTTTATTGCCTGCATACTTATATGTAAATCTACAATTTACATTCTGTTTAATTCATTTTTATTGTTTTCATAATTTAGTATGTTTATTTTTATTCATCAATGGATAGCTAGCCAAAGTGATGACACATCCAAATGTGAACACATGAATAAGGGCCAAAGTTCAGTAGAATTTAGGCATGAAAGTTCAATAAGTTGATGTTTTTGAGTATTGTACCATTGAAGATGCTCTAGAAATTAGGTTCAACACATGTAGTGAAAAATAAAATGTGTATCAAATGTGAATACTTGTGTTGATTGTAACATAATATTCTGTTGAAAAAAAAATATTTTGTTGTCATGGCTTGGCTTGTGTCCCATGCTAGTCGCTTTTAGTTCACCCTATGCAGAAAAGTTTGCTCTCCAGTGGTGTGTACTTTCACACAACCTAACAAAGAAGGTTCGTGCATGTTATGCCTGAAACACACTCATTTTTCCCATCATCTTAATGGTTTGGTTTATAAATCAGTTTTCATATACTCCATGTGTACTTCATTTCATTCATAGAAAACTCTTACAGAGTCTTATTCATAGATTTTATCTTATATTATCTGCTTCTGTAATTGTGACAAATAGTTTCGCCATTCAGTTTGTGGAGAAGGTATTAATATGATGTGACCACCGAAGTGTGAATTTATGTGATGCAGAAAGAAGGTTGATGATGGAGCAGTCTCTTTTTTTTTTAATATTCTTTAACAATTATTTCAAGAAAGTGAGAAAATTCACAGAAGACTTTGGTTAGTATGCAAAGCCATATGGGTAGAACTCAAGCTATTTCATCAAAGAAATGGAAATGGTTGAATGAATTTGAGCTTTTTGAAATGAGTACTGTCGTAGAAGGATAGGTTACAAGCTAAATATTAAATTTTAAGTAAATCATAAATTGAATATATACACACAGGCCTAGTGTTCACTACATCTAGTTGAATCTCAGTGCAATATGTATGCACTGTCATACCAAAGAACAGTGAAAACCTTACCAATGTATCTGTAAAATATATGTATGTGATTTCAAAAGTTTACTGCTTATTTGACTAATAAAATGATCCCATTGAAATCATACATGTTCACCATTATAAATACTTCACTTATGCTGTCTGTAAGTATAACTGGATCCTCAATTTGTAGGAGTCTGATTTTCTTACACAGGGATGAGGTAAGTTACGAGTAGAGGGATCGGGGAAGTCCCGTCCTGGGTATTGCATCAGAAACATCAATCATGACGAAATGTGGAGTCAAATATGCAACATATTCTAATACAGAAAAGAAAATTGTGTACACACGACCATGATTGAAAATTTGAACATAAAATTAAAAAATATATATGATAAACATTTTAAAAAGGAAATATGCATTATAAATAGAGATCTTTGCAAATATGATGCTTATTCAAAAAACAGGCAAAATATGCATTTATATGCACCATCAAACCATGTCCAAAATTTAAGAAATGAAGTAATTCATACATATATCCAAACATGCATACTTTCTGGTTGCAAGAAAGAAATATGCATTTGCATTAAAATCCGGTCCCTAGTAATTAGAATAATCAAGTGAAGTAGGATGTAATGGGCAGGGAATGTGACACAATTGAAGGG